GACAACATCTTGGCAGTCCATGTTGTGCCGTTCGCACGACGTCATGGCCGCCGTTTCATCTTCCAGGATGACAAAGCAAGATGGGCCAGGATGTTACAGGTTACCTCCAACAACAGAACATCACCACATTACCTTGGCCAGCACTGAGTCCCGACCTCTCCCCCATCGAGCATGTCTGGGACATGCTTGGACAGAGGTTACGTCAACGTCAACGTCAACAACGTCCTGCCAATGTCCAAGAACTTGCTGCTGCGTTGCAACAGGAATGGGACAATCTGGACCAAAATGACCTTAGACGTCTCATTAGGAGTATGCCACGTCGGATCAATGCTTGTTTGGCAAACAGAGGAGGATTTACCTGTTACTGACTTGGTTGTGATGCTGTGGTAACTTTGCTGTTTGACCCCGGGTATCATTTTACCCTTATAATGGTCAGTCTGTGCCTTACTTAGTCTAACGATCATTTGGAATAAATCGATGAATGTGAACTTCATTTCATTTTGTCATTTGTTTCTTCGTCAGTTTCATTAGGTGACTTTAATAACACTTAAAAATCAAATATCCCCTACTTTTTTTGAATAGTATATATGTTCATTAGCGTGCACATAAGATCCCTTGGCAGTTAGAGTTCGATTATGAGTAGGCTATAATGTTACACAATTGAGGTTTAGGCAAATGTCACTATTAATCTTCCATATATGAAATATATCTACATCCTTAAAATATTATGACCGTCGGATGGTCGACATTTGCACTGGCTTGACGCGACCATCGGCCATAATGGAAGTCACTACAGCTGAACGGATTGCGTAATGCATTTTGTGTTGTAAAGCAGTATGTTACTAGAAACATAACCTGGCATTATTTAATAACCGGCCACAATATGGTTTGAAATAGAACGGTTGTCCGTAGCTGGTCAAAACTGATCTATCCGATCGGGCCCATAACGGACGGAATACTGACATATCGGGTCAGTGCGTGGGTGTGGCATCTGAATTCAAGGCTCAAGACTGAACCGAAACATCCGAGCCAAGTGCCGAGCTAGCAACAAGGCTTGCTATAAGACCTGGGGCCTGTTTCACGAAATTTTAACTTAAGATAAAATCCAAATTTTAGTAAATTTGATTGGATAATATTAAATTGATTTTAGTGCTTAGCCAATCAAAATTGAAGTATCTAATAAAATTTAAATTTTATCTTCAGTTAAGATTTCGAGAAACGGGGGCCCAGGAACCTAGTAAGGAAGTATGGAGATGTCTGGTACATGCCTTAAAGAAATTAAAAGTTATATGAAGTTATTCAAAGAACGAAAAGTGTAACAGTACTACCGCTGCCCGGGCATAATTTTCCTCGTAGCACTCTATGGCGTATGCCCGTCTCCATTAGCGCCACCAGACATGACATTGGGTGTATATTGCCAGCTAGGAATGATCGCTAAGTCATTACTAAAATCCAGGATCAACGTATCATCCCCATTATTTAGGACCACCTTGTTAACAAAACGACCGCTGATTAATCATTGATGCCATTTTAAGCCGTCCTTGCCTAACCCACGTGGCCGGAATAGTAGTAAAAGACATTTGCAGCTATCGGTTTATGAGCACAACACCACGATACTGTTATATTATACTCTTTAAAAAAAAAAAAGAAAAAAAAAGTAGGGGATATAGAAATGCAAATACCTATGGCAGGTTGTGATATGATAGTCATGGACAATTGACATGATTTCAGACTGTTCACAGATGAAGAACTTATCGCCCAACTGAGCTGCAGGTGCGACACGCAATAGCGCCACACACGTGGGAGATGTCAAATTTGACACTTCAAGGAAAGGTTGAAAACTGCCGCGTGCTGGTTTATCCTATCCATGTTTACTTTCCTATCGGTTCTTGCATACAGTTTACTAGCCCCAAATCGTGATTGAACGGTTGATTAGGAGCATGCCACGACGAATTGCTGAATGTCTGAGGATTGGTGGAGCAATAACTCATTAAGACAAATCAAAAACGTCCATTTTCACTTTTGACAGTATCTCTTTGCAAGTGAAATGGGGGGCGTCAGATAAGCCGCCCATATGAACTGTTCTTTTGTAGCAACACAGCGGTGCAGTTTTGTATTGTTTCTGAATATCCCCTACTCTTTTTGAAGAGTACAGTATATACCAAAACCATTAGAAATATCAACCCAAACGGGATTTGAAAAATGCAAGAGATGTATATTGATGGATATCACATAAATCACGATACACCATTGTTAGGGATGGTGCATTACATTTCATAGTCGATGTGGGTGCGTTAGTATTCTCAGAGTTCGTTGCCGGTGAACATTTACACGTAATCATCAAATCGCAAAAATGACAGATCGGCGGAGTAATGAACCCGTGGACTAGTGCGCATGCAAAAAATATCGGACGCCAACATAGTCCTTTAAAGTGGCAAAGAGAACAATTCCTTCGTAATTTTCTGAAATGTTCGCTTCCGCCCCAACCTTATAATTTTTCATGCCGATTTTTGTCGACTGCAGAAACAGATCTTAAGTGACACGTTCCGTCGATTTTTTTTATTTTAAAATCCAGTTTTAGGTTGTCGATATATACCAACAGCAAAAAAAAAAAAAAAAGTCAGTACGATGTCAAAATCAGAGGCACTTTTAATCAAATCATTCTAGAAAACACTAAATGGATCAAAGAAATTTTTTGTGAACAGTATGTTGACACATTAGTGATTAATTCATCACAATTCCAACACATTATGAGAAGGTTTAGAGTCTATACATATCAGAATCTGGCTTGTGTCAATAACAGCAGCGCAGCGTCTTTACATGGAGTGGACCAGACGATTGCTGAACGCCATTGGCACCTGGAACCACTCAGAAAAGCCTGGCGCAATCCATCGGCTGTGTTTGGTCTCTGTACGACGTTATTAAATCTCCTGAATTAACCTAAAGATGTTCAATTGTGTTTTAGTCCGGATTAAGGGCTGGTCAGTGCATAACGTTTGACACCGTTCTGCTGTAGAAAGTCCTGAGTAACTCTGGCGATGTGGGCACGGACGTCGTCATGCTGGAAAACGTTTCGATGACGTTAGAAATGTGGTATGACGTGGGGTCTGAGAGTTTGATCGATGAAGCGCACTTCTGTGATGCCGCCGCCTCCTCTCCCTGGACCAAGATTTTGTAACACCACAGGACCCACTCTGGTTCAGGCCGATTCCACCCCAAACCATTATGCTTGGACCTCCCCACAAGTCTCGTTCCACGACAATGGTCAGAATAACGCTGGCCACGTCGACGCCACATTCTGGTCCTGCCATCTGGGCCCGGTTCCTATAAAATTCTTAAAGTAAGCACAAAGTCATGCTTCACTTTTTCTTACGTAAGAAACTAATAAAAATACCGTCCCTAGAAAATTCTCAAGACAATTCTTACGAAAGCATAGGTCAAGTATAAGCACATTGTGACTGGTAAAGTTTACCATAAACTGAGACTACGATGCTCTTTAACGTCATAAAAACAACTTTGGTATGCGAATTACGTCTTAAATCTGCTTCATTGACGTCATATATAATGGTTTATTTCGATGCATTTGACATGTCCCCTATTCACATAAAATGTGCCAAAAGATAAAAAAAACTGTGAGCGCCTGATCTTAAAGTAGCCTGTGTGATTGTAGCCTATTGTTTACTAATTGGCAAATAAATAAAATTGTTTCAGGGTAGGCCTCGAAGCGAAATTTTCTATAGCATTCTTAGTTTGAAATTTCTTCTGGAGAAGGATTCTCTCTTTCTTGTAATTGTCTCTTTGGTATCAAAAGAGGTGTCGGAATTTCCGTCGAATAACTCTAAAGTCAGCCATCTTTTTGAAGCAGAAACAGGACTTAAGGTTGGTAAGCAAGCCGTATACCTTGCTTGGGACTTGTGCTTAGATTGACTGTAAGAACGAAGTTGTGCTTAAGTTCTCTTGGAACGCATAATAACATTCTTGTGCTTACAATGTAGTCGACTAAAAATCTAAGCACAAGAACGTTAAGAATTTTCTGGGAACACAAAATAAGGCAAGTTTACTGAAATGCAAAGTTTACTTAAATCTAAGCACAACGTGCTTAAGAATTTTCTAGGAATCGGGCCCAGCAGTTGATACGCAATACCGACTCATCTGTGACAGAAGTTTCTCCATTGCCAGTTCTGGCGTTGTTGGGCAAACTGTAGACAGCCGTTTACGTCGATGGCGAGGATCGGTCCACGGCAATGAATGTTCTCTTGGTGATACGTCGGCGCACTGTATCTGTACTGCTGGGTCTTCCGTGTGTTCCCACTGCTGACGTGCTGTCTCGGGTGCTAGAATCATACTCCGTTTGCTACCACCGACAAAATCGTTAAAATCCATTTATGCATTTTAACTGCAAAAGTGCAATTAAATGTGATCCCACCCCGCCCGATATCCGAGCCAGTTATCCCCCCCCGTTCAAATCTATCCCAAGTACAGCCCTTCTTTAATCTGGGGGTCTTCCCCTAAAACGTTGGACAGGGATTTAAAGGTATTAAAAACCTTGCTCATCTCTGTACAGTATTGTTTACATTGTGTATTCCGTGTTGAATAGTCTAGCCTCGTTTGTCGGGCAAAATATTTTGCTATGCACTGGTTAATTGGGCATAATAAAATCGTGAGTCCTGACGTAACATTATGTAAACATATGGTCTAATTTGGAGCCGTTTTAAACCCAAAGACATTGTTACGCAGCTATTGGTTGTTAATCGGACTAGTGACCAGTCATAATTTGGAACTGAAATTTGCTTCCATTAAAGCTGTGTTTAGTGGGATTAGCTCTAATAATCACTGCGGGGAATATGTGCAGCCGTGCTGCCAGATTGCAGTGGAATATTTTTAATTTGGGCGAGCTGCGGGGCTCCCCTTTCTGGGGGGGGGGGTCATGGACCAAAAACCGGTCTTTGTACGTTGTTATTTTGCGCCGTAGGATCTGGATCAAGCCAAGAAAAACGCTATTTTATTGGCAGACATTTTATTACTGGACTGTCAGAACTTCTGATCTGACAACTTCCTCGGTATCTTCCTCTCCTGAAAATACAAATGAAACGTTAGTGGCCAATACTAAAACTTAGTCGTGTATTAGCTCAACGAAAAGGATGCAATTTCTCCGGTTAAAAAAAAAAAGTAATGCAGCTAGCTTTTGCTGAGCAATCACTATTTATGAACGGTCAAGATATCCTCAGTCTCGTTGGTCTTTGAAAGGAATTATCAGTGATAAGAAATTCGGCAGTGTATCCGTTATCGCTCGTCAATTCAGCGAATTAGGATAACTTAGTTTTTCGCGTCACTTCAAATCTATCATTGTAATGATCGGTGTTGAATATTTGGAAAGCGTTTAACCAGTTCTATCACATGCGATAATGGCCAACACCAATATTGTCCTAAACGTGTTCAAGGAACCATCAATAATCCAAGACATCAAATTACTTGAACCTGGCATAGGCCGAGAAAGTTCATATTTTCCGGCGTGGTTCCCCCTTGTGAGTGATGCAAGACGGAGGGCCCGACAAGGAAAGCCGTCCGGGACGAAAAACTGAAGTCCCGTGTACGTAAAAGATCTGACAGTTGAATTCGATATAGAGTAGGCCGTAGTGCCGTTGTCCGATCAAAATCCCCTCCTCATAGCCCACTGTATGAGCGTATGCCCGTCTTCATTAGCCCAGTTTGGAGCAAACAGGTTAAACTTATTTCCTTGCGACAGGGATTGACAGGGGTCAATTTTTAAACGGATAACCGTTCACGAATAAGTGTACTGGAATTTTGCACTGCACAGTAAACTTTTTAACCGAGGCTTAACTGAATTGTGACAATAGTACTCACCACTTGATCGTTTTGGTCGAGAGCCTGCACACGAACTCTGAAAAAAAAAATTCAATATAAACAGCGTTTAATTAAAACGAGCACCATCATAGACGTCAAGCAATGATACAAGTTTCGGCAACATGAACTGGTTAAAGTGGTACACGATCGTGTTCCTTCTCAATCCAATGAAAATATACTCAAAAAAAAGTAGGGGGATATTGAAATGCAAATACCTATGCCGGTTGCGATATGATAAGTCATGGACACTTGACATGCTTTGAAAGTTTATACACAGATGAACTTATTGCCCCCAACAGAACCACCGAGCTGTACATGCGACACGCAATAGCGCCACACACGTGGCAGGGGTTCATTGTCAAATTTGACACTTCAAGGGTTTATGAAAAACTACCGTTTGCTGGGTTTTTTTCTATCCAGGTTTGTTTTCTTATCGGTTCTTGCTTAAGATTTACTGTTTTGTGTATCTTTAGTGAGTTTACGTTTAATTTGATCGGGAGACTTGTTCGTCGACGTGAAGCGACAACACTGCAAGAATTGGCCGTGGCACTGTAAAAGAGTGGGTCAGATTGCCCCAAATTGTGATTGGACGGTTGATTAGGAGCAATTACTCATTAAGCGTTCAAAAACGTCCATTTTATCTTTTGACAGTGATCCGAGTTCTTTTTAGAATGCGTTACTTCGATTTCTACAGCGTCCATCCTTATGAAGCTGTACTCTTAACCCTAGTTAGGAAGGACAGTGCACGAATTTAATTACAATTCGAGGAATAGGTTCGCGAATACCAGCCAAAAGATTCGAGCGACCATGCAGAGAAAACCTGATTTCAATCTGCGATACTCGGTACAGTTTAGGGACGGCCACATACGGTATATTTCGAGGGTTGGACAGGTGATCTTGCCACCTAAACCTCAAATCGAACCGAGACCTGTAGATTACTTTAATATGTTAATACTATTGTTTAAAAAAAAATCTATTTACTTACTCCATTACAGCTAGTTTTACAAAGTGTAAAAACACATTCAAAACTAATCTTTTGGTCATCTTCTATTTGAATCATTTCAAAGTAAGGACTGCGAACTCTTCTTCCGAGAGTTGTAAAACCTGTCAAGGCAGGCCACAAGGCTTTTGTACTGCATCTGAAAATTAACAATCGATTTACATTTTTAAATTACTGGCCGCAAGTTTATTTGAAACTAATTTAAGCTGGCATTGCATATGTCTTAAGGTATATCGATATAACATCTATATTACCTTATCAGAAAATGAATTTTTAACTAGATAAAAAAAAAAAATTACCACTTACATCCATTGCACATTAAAACATCAGACAGTATTTTATGCACATTTAAACATCAGACAGTATTTTATGTAACAAAAATGTCTTACCCTGCTCGTAGAATAGGAAGTCGTTTTCCTGAAGTAGCACTGATAGCATCACACGATACTGGGCGTAGTCCTACTTCACTATCTGTAATAGATTATACAAGCCATTAAAGCGAGAATTTCTTATTTTCTAAGAAAGTCAAACTGGCAATAGTGAATTATAGGATTATTCTTTAACAAGATAAGACAGTTTATAGATACCATTTTAAGGCTTTGATTTTAATAAATTTTAAAAATATAACTTAAAAAATATGAAATTGTATTTTTAACGTGGTGTTAAAAATATAATCCAATAGTAATGGTAGGGTGCTCAAAGTCAGAAAAATGTAAACCAGGTTATTAAACGGCAGGCGAAGCAGCATTTGTTTTTTCAGGGGTGTTTAAAAAAAAGTTAAAATGCCATGCTCTTCTACAAACTAGACTAAGTTTTGTTATAATCCAGACCCGTCCTACAATCTTATAACGGCCAGTACTGATTAAGTGGCCCATTTTGCACATGGTGATGGGGAGGGATGAATTTAGGCATCGGATAAATGAGCTATGTAATAACTTACTTTTACCGTTTGTTGTAGCAGCTAAATACACTCTACAGCCTCTAACAATAGAACCTATTATAATTTGATCTCGTACATTGTAAATATTTAATGTTAATACAGATGTAGTTTTTGAACCAGCCTCAGATCTTAATTCAACAGGTGGATTGAAACCAGGTTGTACAAGTAAAGCTTTGGTGGATTTTAAACCCTTTCTAGCAAATGTACAGGTTAATGAATAAGCTTCCGGTTCTTTTTGGATTGGGCTGCCACCTTCACCATAAGATATATATACAATGACGGTATACACTTCACTGTTACTACGTCTCTGAAAAACAATTTGGTCAAGTTTAGTTTTTAAACAGGTTCATTACGTCCAATAAACCAGATAATTGTATACAAGACTGGCTTATTTGGGACGGATTTGAAAATGTTAAAACCTATGGACTCCTAGCAAATGAAGTGGGCTTCTAATTCAAGTTCTCGGCAAAGGGGTTGCAGGGACGTCGGGCGCTGAATAAAATAAGGTTCGTCACAAGACGAGAACACAATGCATCGTTGCAAGTCTAGAAAGGTTCGGTTAAAACTGGCCACCATTTCGTAATTTATTAAAAAGGGGCATATCTGCAACAAAGGGTCCCGGAACATTGACGACCGATAAGGTTTGTCCTTTTATCGTATTCACGTAGCATTCGGAATACCCTAGACCTTTCGATCCTTAAATGCAAGGGTCCGCAACATATGCATTACATGTCACAATTTGTGTAAAGTGTCGCTGTGAGTGTGTGTGGGGGGGGGGGGGCATTTAGACGGAAGTTATTCAGTCTAAATTTAAATAGAAATTGGACCTCTCGAAAAGGTCCAAAGTTTAAAGAGATGGGTTTTGTAAAATCATGAGCAGAAAAATTTCGGTTCGATACATGCCAAAATCGGGATATTTAAATTCATAGTAAAGATACATTATGCAAGGTTTGGACAAAGCCGACCATTCTTGCTATAACTAGCTCAAAGAGATAATGAAAATTTTGAAATGAAAATTCAAATTACTTCATTTGAGCCAAGTTATCACCGTAATTTTGACAAATTGTGCGCATTGTGGCAAGCAACAGGGCACTGGTATATTTGAGACATAGCCCTGCTTTCCATTTTTAAATTAAACTGGGAAATAGCGAACCGTTCTAATCTAGTTTTATCTCAAGTAGCTGATGCCATCGAGAGTTGATTTTGGTTGTTAATGTCTAATACTTAGATTACATTTCAGGCCTACAGACCTGCAGTAGGCAGATTTAGCTCTTGCATGATCTGAGAGCTCAAGTCGAGTGGCTACAAACAAATGTGAAGAGACGGGCGGACACATTAAAAAAAAGCATGTATAAAAATAACTTACATGGAACTGACATCTTGTTTTAGACCCTTGATAAAATGTTCCAGATAAAGCATAGTTAACTTTATCGGTAGTTGAAAAGGTTTTCACTCCATTAGAACAACTTGCTTTTATTACAACATTTAAATCAGTTTTAACATGAAGCACAGGTCTGTCTAATGTTCGACTGCTTCCACAGTCTGCCTTTACGTCTAGAATAAATCCGCTCGGTATTACATTTGCTGCGGGAACTCCAAGTACACCGACCACCTGAAATAAATAATGTATAGGAAAAAGATTGTATATAAGATACTGGAAATTAAGTACAAGTCCACCCCCAGGTATGTCTAATGTTCGACTGCTTCCACAGTCTGCCTTTACGTCTAGAATAAATCCGCTCGGTATTTCATTTGCTGCGGGAATTCGAGGTACACCGACCACCTGAAGAAAAAAAAATCGAACACTCCTTACGGAAAGATAATGGCCACGTTTCGTGACGCATTTACATGTACGATACGGCCACCTTTTGAGGTGTACGGGGAAAATCGATAGTGCTCACCCCCCCCCCCCCACCCACCCAAATGCTTTACAGCAAATCTGGAAAGCGGCGTTTTCGATAACTTACCAATTTCGAACTCATTTGACCCTTTTTTTTTCATTTTGTTACTGTAAAGCTTCATTGGAATCGTACAAAAACTTTCATACATTTTGAACAATAGTAAAAAGCAGTGGTTTTAAGTCTAGAATGGAAGGTCAGGAGCGCCCCCCCCCCCCACAAACTTTGATCCTTAATACACAAGTTTATTCTACATCGAACAAAAAGTTTACTCTGCTGGGTCCACAAATTCGATATACATATTACCATTTTCCTGAAGCAACGCCCCGAGTTTCGCAACATCAAGATTAGTCTGAAATTCCAAAACATTTTGGTACGGCATTTCCCTTAATCAGATATGCGATACAAAGAAACAGATTTGTTAACAGCTGTTAAAGCATTTTTATCCGACTGGAGACCGCCATCGGAAGTCTAGTGTACAGGCCTCTTCATTCGGAATACCTGGTACCCTACATCTAACCACGCACACAATGCGATGCGGCTACTGGTTTATTTATTAAAACTTACCGCTTTTAGAAAGATCTCAAAATGGCGTCGTTGTGAGGGTGTACAGTTTTCAATGCAGAGTTGTAGGGAACCGAAGACCGAGGCGTGTCGCATGACCACTTTTAATAACAAGCGGCGTTTGAAAATGGCGTTCTGGTAAAGGCTTAGAAATCCTCTATTTAAATATGATTTGTGTCCGTTTAAGGTAGGATTATATGCCCAATTGTAGTTGGATGTGGCCGAATTGTTATCAATCGGTGTTTTAATGAATATTGTCAATTTTGCTTATTGAAGCCCGACGTTTTTTTCGTCGGGTTTTGCCAGGCAACCATCTCTTATATTGAAACGCGGAGGGTCGAGAAAAGGTTCGTTATCAACTGACATCCCTTTATTTAAAGACCTAATGAAATTTTAAAATGGACACGAATCGCGGGCCATGGCGCCAGAATGCTTTCGAGTGCCATTTGTAATGCAGCGACTACCGATGCAAACTGGAATAACCAGACGCCAAAGACTCATTGAATTTGGACTCCGCCGAACATAACTGATTAGGACTTAAGGAGTAAAACTAAACGATGGAATGTAACTCTTGTTTATATACACACACACACATTTTTATACGAGTTGCGATTGATTCATGTCCATTTCTAGGTGCCAAAGAACAGGGGCCTGTTTCACGAAGTTTTAACTAAGATAAAATCCAAATTTTAGTAATTTGATTGGATAATATTAGATTGATTTTAGTGCTTAACCAATCAAAATTGAAGTATCTACTAAAATTGGATTCTATCTTTAGTTAAAATTTCGAGAAACAGGGCCCTGGTATTTAGACCCCTTTTTAAATTTAATTACTAATTGGGATTGGGGGTGTAAAATCTGAATGGGAGGTAACAGTGACTTTAGTGATGGAACAATGAAAGTCTACTTACCGTGGTAAAAAACAAAACTGCTAATACCAGACGAGACATTGTCATAGGTGGCACAAATGACGCTTGAAAAATATCCAACAGCAGGCAAATAATGGCGTCAATTCTTAGCTCAAAAAGCAGACTCTACTCTTCGATACTCCTTTGACCTCGTGGATGTAATCTTATTCGTGGTTGGTTGTCTGTTTATATACTCAAGTAACATGCACGTGCACACCGAGTGGACTTAAAGTTTGGGCGACTGCATTTTCTGGAGCAGACGTTTGAGTTGTGGCGAGTGTTTTCATTTTACCTACATTATTATTTTTTATTATTAATTATGTATGAATAAAAAACAATAGACAAAATTTTGTCTTGATCAATTAGTTGTTTTAATCTAAAGAGGAAGTTGCTGTTTATGGATTATAGTGTCGTGACCACGACCACCCCATATCTCTTCAAATAATTTACAACAATTTACCACATTTTGATGCGTTTATTGATCTGCCCGGAGATTACCCCAAGATGCACCATAATGACGCACAGCGTTGCTATATGCTAATTGTAGGCCGGCTGGAGATGTTCGGGAATCCATTCCCATAAATGAGTATTTTGAGGGAATACCAGTCTTATATAAAGCGGCCATTGTGGACTCAACATCGGTCCAATTTACCTTCGGAAATCCCCCCCCCCCCACACACACACCAACCGGCCTACAATTAGCATCTCCATTAGATCTACAAAATAATTGTACCGCGGTTTTAAAAATTTTAGATCATCAAAACATCATTGGTATTATAATATTGTTCACAAAAGAATATACGTTTATGATTTTTTGGCCGAATTTTTGTCGATTTCTCATTTTTATTGAAATACTGTGAAACCCGGAATCTCGAATTTAAATTAGACTCGGTAAGGAATCTCCTGGAGTCTATTTTTAGGTCAAAGCCACTAATTGATCTAGAAAATTGTTTGTCTTTGAAACCAACCGTATGAAGCTTTGGCTTGTGCTCACTCTACAAGCTACAATTCGACATGGATTCTTTTGATTTTTATTTGGCAAGTAAATATCATTAAATATACTCTCCCACAAAGTATTTATCGGGTGGTTATTTCCAATAAAAGTGTTTCAAATTGGGTAGTATATGGAAAGAAGAAACACTCAATCTTACTAGAAAAATACTGGAATCGCTGAACAACACCCATGGAGCGCATACAGGACAAAAATATAGGCTAAGGGTTTCCCTAATCGGCAACCTGACGATTAGGGATGTCTGCTCGAGTGACGTTAAAGATGGGTTCCCAGAAAAGTATTTATCGGGTGGTTATTTCCAATAAAAGTATGGCAATTTTGGTATATATGGAAAGTAGAGATATCCAATCTTACTAGAAAAATACTGGATTCCCCGAAAAACACTCATGGAGCGTATACAGGACAAAATTGTGAGGGTTCCCCTAATCGACAGCCCGGCGATTAGGGAATTTCTGCACGCGCGATGTCAAAGGTCACACGCGAACATTGGGCGCTTGATGTACAAGTTGATAAACTTTATGAAGAGTTAGACGTACAACGCTTTCTAAGATAAAAATGACGGAAAAAGACGCGGGTAGTGGATAAACCGAGAATTTAATTAGGATTCGATATTTGTAATAAATAGTAAGCGATTAAAGACAACATCGTCTTATGTATGCAATGAATTCTCCTCTGACTTCCAAGAGAGGTAAGTCACATGACGTAAACATGACCTGGTTTGATCGAATTTTTATAGCAGGGCATTCCTTCGCAATTACATTGTTTGAGAAGGATTTGAAGTAAAATTATGACAAATTAATTAGTTTGAATATGTTTTTAGTCCATATATACCATTAAATCGTCCAGTTTGTACGCGGGAATGTGTCTTTAAAGGTTGCACGCGAAGATCTCAACGTTAAAGGCTCAATACCACTCTTGTTTAACTGAATAATATGTCCCAATCTTTATTCTGGTCAACAAATTGTACTATTTTACAATATTCCAATTAATTGATGATACAAATTTCATCTTAACACACCTAATTTAAAAAATTGGAAAATTCAACTAAATGATTTGAAAAGCCTGACGTAAAGCTTTTCAAATGTGATTTGGATGTAAAAAAAATATTTCTGAACCCTTTGGACAAGTAAAATAGGATTTAATGGATAATTTACACAACAGGTAGGACACTAACACATCTAGTACTTAGAATAAGGCTATTTTTTTTATTTTCTGAAGCTGTCAAGCCAGCAAGAGTGTTATTGTCCCTTTAATGAGCGCTTGATGTATGTGTTGATAGACTTGACGGTGAACTTAAGCTTACAGCAGTTTCTGAGATAAAGAACCACGTGGACAGTGGGTAATCCGAGAATTTAATTAGGCTTCGATATTTATGATAAATAATCGGCGATTAAACACAACGTTGTCTTGTATATGCAATGAATTCTCCCCCGTCTTCGCACCCTTTGCTAGGTACCTAGGTGTCACGTGACACAAACATGTCCTCTTTTAATAGATTTTTTATTGCAGGGGTATTCCCTCACGAATACAATGTTTTGAGAAGGATTTGAAGCAAAATTAATTTTCATAGATTAATATTAATGTGAATATGTTTTAATCCAAATATAAAATCAAATCACCCAGTTTGTACGCGGAAAGGTATCTTTTAAGGAGATGATCACTATCGAATTTGGTGATGATCCGACAGTTTTCGTCCGAAATATGCACCAACTCGTGCTCACTCTACAAGCTACCAATATTCATAGATGCTTTTAATTTTATATTGCGTGTCAATATCGCATTTGGCGAAGACCAGATAATTTTTGTCCGAAACGCCGGACGTACCAACTCGTGCTCACTCTATATAGACTACAATTACTTATGGTTTCTTTAGATTTTTTTTTTAGGGTAGTCATTCAAACAGAAATGTGTATACCAACTCGTGCACAACCTATACAGATTACAGTTATTTAAAGGGGCATTATTGGAGGTTAAATAGAGAGCTGGCAGTTCGCATTACAATAGTTAGTTAAAAACTTGATAATGTGTAGGGAATTTGCTGAAAATTTCAGTCCAATTGATCCACTCTGAACCCAGATATTAGATTCTGAATTTTAGGAATTGTCTCGATCATCATTACTAAAATCGGTACGATAAAAAACATAGTCTCGATTATCCATTTCTGGATTTAATCATCAATGAGCGTTGCGCATCAGATCGGATTCAAATCCAGTAAATATCGCAGGCTAGCGATAACATCGAGGGTTGATTATGGTCTGGATAATTAATGTCTAATTAATAATTTAGATAACATTTAAGGCCTAAAGAAAGGCCTACAATAGGCTCTTGCATAATGTATGTTTAAGGATTCTTTTGATTTTTATGGTGTGAAGCATTGAATTTCGAAGTAGCGCAAGAGAGGGTGAGTATACCTATCATTTTCAGTCATTGTCCGTTTCAGTCCTTCAACAATTTATTGTTAATGCCGAGGAGGCTAGAGCTCTCTGTGTTCAGTCCATCAAGAAGCCTTTGCATCAACAATTTTTAGGTTTTTATAGTAATGTCATTTCTCATTTGATAAAACAAATGGCAATCAGTTCTAGCCGCTACAATTCTCTGCTTTTCATTTATACAGCGTTAACTATAGATAGGGCATGGGCGTGGATTTAGGGGGGTGGGGGACGGGTCCCCCCCTCAGAATCGGAAGGGGGGGGACGAATAGGTCTCTGTCCCCCACATGATTTTGATAGCAAGGACAGAATTTCAGGTTTATATCCACATGAATGTCCCGTTCTGAAGGCTATTGGCTATCTAACCACTGCCTTGGGTCTCGTCACAGTAATTCATCTTCACGATATCTTCCCCCTTCTTCCCCCTTAATTGGAGGTAGTCAATTTTACCATATTGTGCTGTTCATTGAGACTATAGTATATTCGCGTGTTCATGTTTATTTTTGTCGTGTACGGTAATTCTGGTCACTGAGCGAGCCGATCATTTTTGGAGTGTAGTTAATCGAGTCTATTTTACTTCGCGTCTGCGCATTATCACCGAAGTGACCAGGGTTTTCATCTTTTTACCGCTACTTACTTGAAGAAAATAATAATATGGTTTAGCACCTAATACTGTGTTGTGTTTTTAGAAAGATGCGCGTAAGCTATCTGGGCAGCTGACGGAACGGCCATTTGAGTTGAGACTGAGCATAAAGTACGTTTGAGAACACGTGCGCGGTCGTCTCTGTCAGCGAGACAGAACAGTAAAAAGATTGCAGAATTCCCTAGTTCCATGAGTTGTGAATAAAAAGACCTCCCTGGTTTTAAAAAGAGCTGAGAAGAAAAGGATTGTTTCACCAACTTGGCCTGTGCGTGAGCTGTGAACAAACTTTACCGAGATCTACAGAAATGAGAACCTTACTGAGTTGTTACCAACAGCACCTGTATTTCAACCCAGGTTTGAGGGGCCTACTGAGCAATGTTTGACTAGGCCTAAAGAGTCACCTCGTGATATACATAACGAGCAATCGTCAAACACCCCCATATTTCAACCTAACCATGAGCTAACACTTAGATACACACCTAGTATGCCAACGCATGGTGACCCTAGACCATTTGAGAGCACTAATCAACAAAGCAACTTGTTTAACACTAGGCCACCCGAGCACTCTAATGACATTAGTAAAAGATTACTTGCTGCACTTGCACTACCTAAATGTGAGCCTGACGTGTTTAGTGGAGATCCCGCCTTGTTTCTTCCTTGGAGGCAAGCATTTAAAACCTTAATATGTGAAGCTGAGGCTACACCTAATCAAGAGATTACATACTTACTGAAGTACACCAGTAGCAAACCTAAAGAGCTTGTAAATCAATTTCGCAGACGAATACATCCCGATCCCCAGGTCAAACTAAATGACCTTTGGTCAGCACTAGAAGAAAGGTTTGGACATACTGCTGAGGTAGCGAATAATTTGATTGAGACTTTACTGAAGGCTGCTAACTTTCGTTACGAAGATAAAGTGGCTCTTCAGACATTTTATGACACTTGTGAGAACTTAAATACACAAGAACCTTATTTGAAAGGCCTGAGCATCCTGAATACTTCGTATTTCATGAAAACCTTAGTTGAGAAAATACCTAAATCCATTAAAGAGAAATGGGACAGTAAAGTTACCAAACACATGGTCGAT